TCTCCCCATTCATTCACTGACGTGCAGCCTGTGAGAAATGTTCAATGCTCAGATTGCAGCTGAATAATATTTGTTTAGCATTTGGAACAAAAGCCGCCTGACAAACAGAACATTTGTGTCACCCCTGTTCCAAACCTTGCCATGTTTCCAAGTGGGTACTTTGCCAGTGATGACAAGACATGCCAGTAAAGAATGAGAAAATCTGAATGGTGTTGGGGATGAAGAAATAAGAGGCAGGCAAGGGGCAAACAGGTACATGTTATTCTACAACTGCCACATGTCGCTTAGATTACAGCAAATAGCAGTAATTCTTGTAACTTTCTCTAAAACTGATAACCCAAAATATTAGTTAAATGACATCTCTTGTGCTCTAAGCTTGCCAAAGTTGCTTTTTCCATTCTGTTCTTTCCATATTTCTCTTTTTTTCTGTTTGATTTTAACTACTGCTATAAGTTTCACAAAGGCTGCATTTGTCTGTATACATTAAGAGCAGCACAGGGCACTACTAAGCTGGTTTTTCATTCTCTCTGTTTTTATGGCATGTCCATATTTATGAGTAACCCATCTCTTGCAGTAAAAGAGTGACTCCTGTTTGCATGTTTGTCAGGTTCTGTTCTCTGCAGTGCTGCCTGTATTAGCACAGACAGGGCCAAATATTTTGGAAGTCACAATCAGTCTTTTCCAAACTAGGTAAATATGTCGCCTCAGCTTAATGAATAACTGATGATAGGAGCTTTAGTACTAACCAGTCATTTTCATACCAGGAACCTAGAAAGACTGTCTTTATTTCTATGTATCCTGTCTTGGTGTGTGTCCATGGAAGATGACCTGCAGTACATACTCTAGATTAGCCAGATCCATTATCTGGGGGAAGTCAGGTGAAATGTATCACTTCAAACATGAATCAATGGCCATACTGTGAAGAATAATTAAGGAATAACAGTGTGACTGACAAAAATTTCTCTTTTTGCTACCACATCTTTTCTCTCTTTTCCTCATTTTTTCTCAGCCTTTTTTGCTCCTTTTTATCACATCTATTATTTCTTTTCTGGTAACTTGGAAAGGCCCGATCTCAAGTTTTGTTGTAGATGATGTGCAAAACAGAAGGTAAACCCACATCCCAGTAAGGACAGTAGGATTAACCCTAATGTGGCCAAGATTTCAGGAAGCATGCAGAAGGAATGATGTCTGTCCTAAAAAAAAAAAAAATTCATTAGTAAATGTAAGAAACTTAGATAAAGGCAGGATTAAATAAATAAATAAACAATGTAACAATTGTTATTTTATGTTTCTTAACATTTATTTCATATGACGATGTTTATCTTTCTGGATGATCAGACTCTTATCTTTCTAATATTCTCTGACTAGAGAGCCCTTTAGAAATGAAAATATTGTTGGAAATTATTTTCATGAAGCTGTAGCATTTTTTAGATTTAGTCTGTGGCGTTTTCTTTACCTCAATATTGCCCTTAGAGCAGTATGGAATTCAGCTTTCACAGAGGGGTTGTCTGCCATATATCCACAAAAAAGATCAGTCTTCTTTAATCTGATTTTAGTTTTAAATCATCAAAGTTATGACAAGTTGTGCAAATGCAAAGGATCTAAGTGGTAAGGCAGTGAGCACTTCCAGAAGCTGAAAGTGTAACTTTGGGGAGAGCCCCTGTCTTTAGACCAAAATATAAAGTTCTTTGCCAACTAAGACGCTAGGGCAGCCAAACTGTACTTCTTTTGCAATAATTATAAATTCTGACCGGGCTCTTTATTCTGATCCCTCCTCCTGTGATTGCAGTATGAACAGTAACTGGCAGATAGAGCATTAGTTGCCATAGAGAGACAATTTCCAATTCCTTCTCTTGTCTTTCCCTTCGCTAGTAGTACATTTCCATTTTATCTGTTATTTTAGGTTCATTAGTAATTAGAATTTCCTGAAAATATTTTCAGAGAAAAATAAAGCACCTATTTCTTTGAGATTGCATATGCATTTTCTTTAAAAATTCCAGGTGTCTCTTTGAGCCTCCATCAGTGCTAATTATCACAAAAGGAAAAAGCTCCATACTTTTTAAAATCTGCTGAAATTGTTTTTATAGGGCACAATAAAGTAAAAATATCTGCTTGACAGGATGAAGTACCTAAGAGCAACCAGCTTGAAAGCTTGTTCCTATGTGTTTCAACTTGTAAAACCTCACTGGGCATATGTGTATTTGTATCATTAGCACCTCATTTCTAATCTAAAAATGTACTTAGACCTTCTGACTTCCCCCATAGAATCCCATGCTACAAGGACTATTTTATTGTTTTATATGCTGAATATAATTCTGTGGTTCCAAGACAGAAGAGCATGAAGATTACATTGCTTTAGTTATTTGCAGAAATTCATTTTGCAAATGCTTTTGTGACGGCCTATAGGTCAGCTTGCAAATATTTCCCCAGAGATCAAGCTCAAAGAACATCAACTCTTTGGCTGTTTTTTCCAGTCCTTCAAGTAAGGACTTGTATAAAGCAGATGCAGCCAGACTTGACCTTCTTGGGATGGTTGTAATTTATTACTCCAAGTAAGAATTGTTTTGTAACATAACTTTGCTATGAAAACAGATAATTTATGGTGGTTTTCTGCCTTCTTTTTCTTTCATTTTTAATTTGTTTTATTTTCATTCTGTCTAGATTACATCCAAATTAGAAAGCCACCTATAATGTTGCTCCCAGTAAAACTACTCTTTACCTGCATTAGGATTGAAAAGTCCAAAATTCTGTTAGAAAGGGCTAAAGAAAAACTCTTCCTTAGCTGTAGTGAATAAGTACCTTTGGGAAAGTAAAAGCTGGAAAGGCACGCTATGGATTCAAATATGTCTTTCCTGTGCTGTGAGTAGAGCAGCTCAATAACAAATTATAACTTTTGCATAAATAATAATTTTTTTTTTTGTCACCACCTTCCTAATTGCCCACATACTAGTAACATATTTTTCTTACACTATCTTAAAGGGTAGAACAATGGTTACATGCTATGTTGGACTTTTCTCAAATTATATAGTTCTTCGTCTCAATAAATATTTCAGCATTGACTTACTATGTTTGCAGCTTATTTCAGTTTCTAAATAAATACATCCTCTCTCAAAAAATGGTATCTTTGATATGTTTATAGTCCAAGGATTTTGGCAACAATGAACAGAGCCTCATTGACCATTCACCCCCCTCAGTTGGTCTTACCTGCAAAAACCACTCTTCCCTCTTGCAGCCAAAAGCTGACTGCAGCCTCCTGTAAATGCAGAACACCTGTGGCACGGTGCTTAACTTAGAACAGTGCTAAAACAGTTTTGCAGCTCGCATTTGCCACAAACCTGTCTTCTTTTATGTGCACGCATGTTAGTATACAAATTGCCAAATTGGTGTCAGTTGTAAAGTAATGGCATGGGAGGCATCATAAATTACCGTGGTGATCCTCAGGAGAAGACACTGCTGTATGTGAATGAGTGTTTTGCTCTCAGGGTAATGTATGTCTTCATCTGGCCCAGTAGTCAGCATATTGCCCTGTGTTGATGGATATAGTCAGCTTGAAACTACACTACATTTCACTGCACAATAAACATGGCTGTCAACACCATATAAAGCAAAATCAATTTATCCTGTATGGTCAGTGCGTTTTAAATGAAATTAATGTACTGTGGACCTGGTAGCAAAAAGGTAGTATGTTAGTTATGCATCCTCTACTTTAGGGCCCCTTTTTCATGCAAATGTGTTTCTTATATAGAATTTTTTAAAAGGTATGCCTATATAATGCTTTCACTCTGAATTAGGAAAATTGATTTTTGCACAACTAAAACTCGTGCCTGTATTCAGTAAAACTGCAGTGTTTTGTTTTATGTACTGTAAAGAATTAATCTTATATTATTTGACAAATAAATTCATGTTGGTAGCTGTAATAGTTTATATATAAAAAAAGGGGGCCTATTACTGTACTAATTTGTTGTCAAGTATCTTGTCTTTTCAAGGTATTAAGTTATATGACCAGTTTGATAAGGTCTAAGACTGTCACTCTCCCACTGTAAACACTTTTTGCCTTTTTTATAGCTAAGGTATAACTCTAAAAACATATTTTATCATCACAACTTTCGAATTTTTTTCCAGTAAAAGCATGCCTTTGTCATCTGTTTCTCCCCTAGTAATTAGTTCTACACCTCAGCTCTGTGATCTCTAAACCCTCATGAGGCTTTGCTGTTTGTGGTCAAGAAACAGGGCTGGATGCTTTCAAAATCCCAGTTAGGGCTGGCATGGGCAAGCTGGATTGATGGCAGATAAAGACAGGACACTGGGATACACTAAGGCACAGCAAGCATAGAGGTGGAGTGCTTGTCTCCCACTGTGGGAGGTTCTGGAGGTTCCAACATGCTGCATGTGTATCTGTTGGAGGCAGACAGTTTTATTACATATATGTGGTTCAAATGCTCCAAAGCACATCTAGAATACAAGTAAAGCAGATGCAACTTTAAAATGTTCAGATGCTCCAAATAAAATCTGATCCATACAAATGGCAGCATGTACCTGGTGCACTGTGTAATTTATTTTATGAAATGTTTGGCACGTGCTTCCCTGCTCAAGCAGCAAAGTCATTGTCATTGGCTCATGTCAGCAGGCCTATATCAGTTTGGATTCTCAAATGTAGCTTTTATGTGAGTTTTGTTGAGCATTCAGAGAATGTATTTTATGGTAAAGCCCTAAATGGAAACTTTATCAAATCACCATTTCTTAAGTGGAGAAATACTAGTGCAATTTGTTTCTACAATATGGTGTTGGGTCATCTCAGATGGGCAAGCCTGGCCAGCTACACTGAGACCACTGGTTGGCCCATCTCTCTCTCTCTCATAGATCTGGCAGCAGGGGGAGAGAGATAGAGAGAGAGAGAGAGAGCAAAAGAGGCTGAAATAAGCAGAGCACTGAAAGCGCTTTCCTAATGCACGTAATAATGTTTTGCATCCATCTTGTTTCCTCCTGCCCTGACGTTACAGGGAGTAAAGCAGTGAATGGCTCTGCAGCTAAACTACAGCAGTATTATTGTTGGCCAACAGGAGGGGCCACGGTGGCTGAAGCCCGGGTCTACCGGGACTCGCGGGGCCGCGCCAGCAGCGAGCCCCACATCAAGCGGCCGATGAACGCCTTCATGGTCTGGGCCAAGGACGAGCGCCGGAAAATCCTCCAGGCCTTCCCCGACATGCACAACTCCAACATCAGCAAAATCCTAGGTAAGCGCGAGGCAATGGGCAGCAAGTTGTGTCGGCAGGTTTAGGTTGGATGTTAGGGAGAAATTCTTTACTGGGAGGGTGGTGAGGCACTGGCACAGGTTGTCTGAGAAGCTGTGGATGCCCCATTCCTGGAAGTGTTCAAGGCCGCGTTGGATGAGGCTCTGAGCACTTGGTGGAAGGTGTCCTTGTCCATGGCAGGGGGTTGGAACTGTCTGGTCTCTATGGTCCCTTCCAGCCCAAACCATTCTACAGCTCTATGGTCTTCTCTAATTTTAGCACATATCTTTTTCTGGGAGATGTTCACCAAAATTATACAAATGAAGATTCATGGCTTGTTTTCATTTTCATTCTCTTTTCCCTCTCTGCCCCTTCCCTAATACTTTTTATTTCCAACAGCAGTCACAACATGCTTTAAAACTTAGTAGCATTGAAAAGGAATGATTTGTGAAATCTCTTGTAAGGCTGTGTCCCAATAACTGCAAGATCCCATTAGAATGCACCTGAACTACAAATCGCCTGAATGCAAAATGGGACTTGCTAGAGTAAATACCGGAGTATAGTTAAAAAAGTACAAAATCAAAATCAAAATTATGTCAGACAGTGCAACGTCAAGAAAGAAACTCGACACAGTTCGAAGGACCAGTACATGCAAACCTCACATCCAAAACGATATTTGGTTCAAAACATTGCAAAGTTCAAAAAGCTAACCACTAGAAGCATGCAATTAAAATATTGCCTAGGTAAAAGACTCCATAGTTAATATTTAATTTGTACAGATTGAGACAATCGGGGAATATTCAATGGGTTTTATTTTGCCACTGTGCAAATAAATGGACTCATTTTTGAGAAATTTTGATTTGGTTTTTAAGACCCCTCCAGAGAATTAGAAACATACGTGAGAATGAGTGGTGAAATGTTAAAACCTATATTTGCTTTTTGAGTCTTTGAAGTGAAAGACAGATTCCAAACGTAGCTCATAATAAATAAAAGTAAAAATCAAGTTTCCTCTGTAATCATTTTATTGTAAACTCTTGAGTTCAAATACAAAGTTTGTTGCATGTTAGTTCAATCAGAGGCAAGAATACATAGAAATAAATGTTACTTTGTCCTAAAACTTCCAAAATCTTTGGTAGTTCTCATATTTTTGTCTACCATATAAGTGAGTTATATGAATAGCCTTTCAGTTTTGTATAAAACCTTCACTGTTTCAGTGTTGGCAGCTGTAGGGAATCTATATTATTTGTGTGCATTCTGTGAAAAAAACTATTAGGAGCATAGTAACTGTATTCATTAAAATGTAAACTTCCAGCATAAATATTTCAGAAGTGCCAGCAATTGAGTGTTTGTTAACCATGGAATTAACCTGTCAGTATCTGCTCTGCCACAAATAAGTCTGTGTCCATATAATATCTGTGCAACTTTTCCAGGACAATGAGAAAAGAGACTGAAATATTAGAACTGACACAGAATATTGCTGGCTTCGGATAATATTTATACAACTTTTCCATTTGTTGATGTATGAAAAATGTTGGTAAAAGAATAGCTTCCACCCACGTTTACCACAGCTGTAATCATTTTATTCATCTAAAAGACACCAAAAAGCTATTTTCTGCATTTCTTATTCCTGTCTCTGTTCAAGTGTTTAGATAGCTCCTTACAAACAATACAAGAGATCTGAATACTTTTGCCTCTTCCTGTGTACACTGTGCTAATTTTAAAACATTTTTATTGGTGCAGATTTCAGTGAGAGTTTACAGTACCTGAAGAGGTGTATATAGTTGCAGTGTGCTTTCTGTTTTACTTTTTATCTTTCCAATGTGAGTTTGTGAAATGTAACTGTTTTTATTCAGTTCTGTGCGCTTATTACATCTGGCCAGAAAATAATATGCATAATAGAATTTAAAATAGGTGTCAGTATTATGTCAAGCTTATATCAGAAGTTCAGTAAATTTAGGACGCCCAGACAGCAAGGGATTGTTCAGAATTTTGCTGAATCTATTAGGTTTGATACTTTTTTCCTGCTACATAGCAAGCTATTAATATCTATTAGCAGGAGTGTATAAACCAAATTCTCATAAAAATATCAAAGAAGTCTGTGTCCCTAGGCAATGTGTTAGGCTTTCAACAGTGAAAGTATGGCTGCAGACTTTTCTTAACCACCATACTGTGCGTGGTATTACAGAGGTATGGAATTACTCACAGATTAATGCTTTTATTGTAAAAAATTAAGTAGTCTGTTTTGCAGCACGAGGCTGAGATTTTGAGACTTAACTATTGATTTTACGTGCACCCTATTTAACAGAGATTTACATATGCTTGGTCTGCAGCAATATCTGAAAGTCAGGGTTCTTTTAAGGTGTCTCAGGTTGTGCAAGCCAATATATGTGCAGACTGATGTAAATTTAAATCAGTTTATTTAACGAACTTAATTAAAATTTATCATGGCGAGAAGGCATGTTGAATTGTGTATGTGCACAGCTAAACCCGCTTTACTTGAGCACTCACTAACATTTTGTGTCCATAGGATCTCGCTGGAAGTCCATGTCAAATCAGGAGAAACAACCTTATTATGAAGAGCAGGCACGACTAAGTAAAATCCACCTAGAAAAGTACCCTAATTACAAATACAAGCCTCGACCAAAACGTACCTGCATTGTGGATGGGAAGAAGCTGCGGATTGGTGAATACAAGCAGCTGATGAGGTCTCGAAGACAGGAGATGAGGCAGTTTTTTACCGTAGGGTGAGTACAATTGTTGTAATTGTTTTCCAAGATGGAGCACGCTGTTTGAAACCAAATTGACTTTATCTGTTTAAGTCACTGACTAATGTCATTTAGCAGGAAAGGGTTTGAACCGGTAAGACCTTATTAAAAACATAAGATGGAATATGGAGCTATCAGCTTGCCACTGAATGCTGATTATGAGACTGATTGTGGAATTCTTTAAACTCAAAAGAAGTTGTTTCCATTACCCTGAAAGGTTTGAATCATGTCTTTTGTGAGTTTTTAGTAAGCTAATCCATTCTGGGTTAGTAATGACTCCAGCATCATTTCCTAAATTAAGAAAAGAACAAAGAGAGAAACACAAAGGATTATTCCGGTGTAGAATAAGGAGTCAGGAGAGGGGAGAAAGGGAAAGGAGTAATAGCAGTTGTATGAGGAACACACACAAATGAATGATATCAAGGTATGAAGCTACTAGGAATTTTTTTATATAGAGAAGTGTATACATTTAAAAAAAATGTTTTAGAAATAATCTTTTAAGTAGTGTATAAATAGACTGGGTAGATTTATAACTCAAAATGTATGGCCCTAAATGATCCTAGCATGGTTTTAAGAACATTGTGTGTGTTTTTAGTGGTATTTCCTCTGGTGTTCAGCAGAGAAAGTAGCATTATGAAAGATCTACAGGCTAAAGATAACAAAAGTCCAGTGAAACAACTGCACCATAACTGATTTCTCGCTCTTGTTTCTTTTTTTTTATGAATTAATCTGTGATGCTCAGTGCTCCAACACAATGTTTCTGGTGATTTACAAAGAGTCTAAAATCTGTCTCCAGTGCCAGCCTTTCCAAATTCACAATGTTCTGCTTATTTCTCTAATCACAATAGTCTCCTTTTGTTGGGTACTTCACTACCAGATAATTGACCTTGACGTCGATTATGTGCCCTCATTTTTGGCTTGGGATCCAGAACTCCTGTTGCAGTCAATTATTTTGTGGTACAGCCTGCAACAATGTGGGCTCTTTCTTCAATCAGTAAATAGAAGTGGTTTTGATATCTTGAGATAGCCTTCCAGCCTATAGTTATGACATTGTTTTTTTATTCTTCAGTCTAAGGGAAATTGTTTACTAATAGTCTTCCATCAAAATTGCACATAGGACTCTAAATAGAAATCTGAATTTATACTTCACATCACAAATTATATTCAGATTGAGGGAATGAAATTCTAGCTTACGTCTTCCAAAGCAGATTGACAGACCAAATCACATCTAGACAAGAAATGCCAAAACAGAAGTCTGAACAATTTGAGAATTGTTTGCTAATTCAAAACAGCATTAAGCATTTTACACATTAAATGTGATGGCTAAATGGGAGTGAATATGGAGGATGGATTTAAGAAACTTCTTAAAGTGCCTACCTAAAGGGTGATATTTCTATTAAAATATATAGGCACTGAAAGCTATTCAAAACTACACTGGTGCAACCTAATCTTTCTCATACATCCAATGGTGTGACTGTGAAGACCATGAGAACGTCACCATTTTTTGAAAGGATTGTTTCCAATTTTTACTAATGCTAAGTCCACTTCACCATGTTGTGTTCATGTTGAAGAAGTTTAAAGTCCTCTACCTCTGTGCAGTTATATGATGGTGCACTGGACTTTACCAAAACCAATGACTGTTTGTTGTGCAAGTGATAGAAAAGGGAGTATGGAGTTTAATGGATGCATTCAATAAAGATGAAATGAGAGCCATGTTGCTGCTCAATGTGAACATAGATTACAGTCCTGAGGAATCACAGGCTGGGACTTAAAAAAATTATTTCAAACTTCCCTGTGTCTTCCCACTGTTGTCCCTAATTCCCGTTTACCCTCAAGAATAATTTAAAACAAACTTATTGGAAGACACCAAGTAAAATTAGTGAAAAACCCAGACTAGAACATCTTTTTTGGACTGAAACATAAAACATGGAATCATTTGTCTCAGCAGAATAGTTTACCAAGTAATGAAAAGCAACATTTCTTTCAAATCAGATTATAACTAAGTGAAACACAGTAACTGAGCCCATCAGCTTCTTAAACTTACTCTTCTCTGTGATTAACATAAATATCACATAAAGCATCAGCTGGAACAGTTTTCCTAACTGACCTCACACCCCCATTATTTTTCCACTGTTTTGATGGAACAACATAAATCGTCTTTCAGAACTGTAGATGTGAGAGTTGAGATGCTGTTTCCTTTTCAGAGTGAAATAAGAGACAAATGTGGTTTTTCAGATTGAATATGCTCTGTGTTTACAGTAAATATTTCAGTGGAAGATACAGAACAAAAGTACAAAATAGACTCCAATGAAATGTGCCAAGTGTTTCATACTGCTTGAAGCACTGCTGCGGGTTTTTTTGTTGCTTTTTTTTTTTTTTTTTTTTTTTTTAAAGAACAAACAAATTAAGTCGGGAATGGGCACACCAAAATGGCAACAAAATATCATAGAATAAAAAGATAAGTAGGAGATGCGTGAAGAGTCAGATACACATTCAAAGCAGGTGGCTAAAGGAAATAATAAAAAACAAGAGAAAAACCAGTATTTTTCATAATTCCATTTGTGTTTTTCTTATACCAAATGTACATTTATATTTTAGGCAAGCCAGTAAATGCTAGTTCCTGTCAGATTCCCTTAGGTGAGCCACTGGCTAGCATAGGATAATTCTGCTGTGGGTACAACCCCCCACCACAAACAGGGAGTTCTCCATGGCTCAAACTTTTTGTTGCAAAAGGGTCACGCTGCTCACTTCACTGACCACAGTCTTTGACAAACTTTGGTAAGATGCACAAAGGGAGTTTAAAGAATTTCAATATACAAACTGGCCATGATTTAAAATAAAATAGAGAAATAAGCTAATGAGTGGCCATGTTCTGTTCCAATTTTTGAAGAAAAACCTCTAAAGAGTGAAGATTTCTTGGGATAAATTAGCCCAGAAATTAATGTTTACAGATAACTGTTGTATATCTAATAGAACAAAATCTGGGAACTGCCAAGTATTTTAAAGAACAGACTGGAACTTAGAGTGTGCATAGGCCTTCTATTGCATCCCTACTTTAATGAATTTTGCTCCAAATGAGGCAGATAATATACAGAAATAATTCATGTTTAATGCAGTGTATGTTAAAAAATTGCTGCTTTCAATCTAGGGGAAGCTGAATCTGAAGCCAGCTATGTCTTTAAAATAATTGAGTTATTTTTAATAGTAAAATTATTAATGGAACTTGTGAATGATATCTTCAGCATAAGTTAATCCCGAACAGACTTCAAGTGATTTACAATTTATCCTCAATAGTAGTTATTTGTAATGCATAAATAAATGTGAGCTAAAAAATGGATCATATATAAGCCATAAATTCAGATATTTTAAGTTGAGTCTGTCTTTTGTTGCCTTGTCTTACAAAGATAATTCATTGCTCAGTCATTTTTACAGTCTAATACACTCTAAATAGAGGTATATGCTATATACATTTCTCTGCAAAATGATGTAAGCAGTAACTTTTTTCTGTGCTTTACCAGTGTAAGATGTTTAGAATAAAGCCTTTATAGTGTTTATAACTACTGTACACACGTAGTCTGAATGTTGCTAGGCTATGGTTTTGAATAAGTCTGTAATATTATATGCCTGTAGCTTGAACTTAAAGCAAGTACACAATGGGTGCTTTTGTGAGATTTACTGTTATTTCATTCCTTATGGGAATGTAAGTTTCAGGAGTGTGTAACATATGAGCGTTTTGCTTGATGCAATCAATTTTTGCTTCAGACATTTGAATAGCTGTCAGAAAATGGTTGAGAAGGGATCAGAAAACAATGGTCATTTGCCAATTTAAATGTTTGGCTGGTTTGGAAAAAGTCAGAAGAGGAATATTCTCCAGAAAATACTAAGAATATTAATGCCACAAATTTGTGAGCAGGTCAGTTTGGCTAAGAATTTTCATGTTACTTCCATTTTTATATTCACTTAAATATTTTGGGCCAAATCTTAAGCCCCAGAGTGGACAAACAAGTTATCAGTGCTAGCAGAGAAGAGGAGAATGACCTCTATTATTGTCCACATGAGGATTTCTTTATCAAAGAGGAGATGGTGGGGACAGGAGTGGTCTGAAGCCAGGGTACGTAGAGATGTTCTACCATTCCTCATGGATCTGAACAGACCAGAAGATTAATGTTGCTTTCTGGAAATCTTAACAGGCAGAAAACTTCCATGTGCAACTGAACTGAAATGTAACCTGTAGCTTGCAGGTAAAGTATGTTTTTATGTCCCCCCTCCAAGGTTCTATGATTGGTAAAACTTTAGCTAGAGGTAATGATTAAATGTGTGGAATTTAATGTAATAAAAGACTCCATTAACATGAATGCCTTTAAAATCTACAAATATAAGAAAACATAATGGCCAGAGTTGTAGGTTAGAAACTCCAACTCTTCCTTTAAGAGAGAGTATTGGGAATTTAAACAAATGCTGTGTTTTCCTCCTGACAAGAACTTAATTACTTGGGAAATGATAATACTCATCTCTAGTAACATATGCCATCCACATAGTTTGTGATATTTTAAAATAAGACTTTCTGGGCTGTAATGTAGCAACTAGAGCAGAATTTACAGTGACAACCTGATCAGTTCTAAATAATAACAGGTATTAAATCAGAGGTAGGTGTCCAGTTACTGGGGGTGTGTACGTTCCTGTGTTTAAGTGCTAGCAAATCTTTTGCTAGCAAATGGGTAGCAATTTGAGACCCTTTCCAATTAGGTGGTACAGTTACCACATGTTTACAGTTCCACAGTGAGATATAGGTAATTTAAAGTTATTACCCAGCCAGCAGCAGGCATGCACAGCATGTCTGATTTTTGTTTAACATGTAAAAAAGGACTGCATTTATGGATGACAAATTCAGTAAGCCTTTAACTTTCCTGTTAGACCAATCAAGTTCTTCGACAATTAGATTCATTCAGTAGCTTGCCATGCATTTGTCTGGTGTGCTCCCAAGTAAAAAGCACCTCTGTGAATTTGGCTTCTTTATGCTCAGATGACCTTCTCCATTTATACTTTGAAATGAGTGGTACTTGGACAAGTGTACCCAGTCCCACAGAAATGTGGATATGCAGAAGAGTTCTGCTGACTGTTTGAAAGAATACCAGGATTTCTCTGTCCTTTAGGCCTTAACATTGATAACCATCACTTCATCAACATATCTCACAGCATTGTGTTAAGCAGACTTTTAAAATTGTTCTTGCTGCTTGTAAAAAGGCAATTTGCTTCTGAAAAAATACAAACTTTTTGGGGAGGGGAGGTATAGAGGTGGATATTAGTGTTCTGATACTTAATGTCATCTGTATCACAGCAGCAGGTCCTGCTCAAATTTTCTTTGAGTCAGTTCTACAACTTCTGTTACAGGAGTTGTGAAAACTTTTCTCAAAGCATCATCTGGCATTGATAGGATGGTGTTCTTTGATGAACAACTGGTGGTTTTGTTTTGTGAATTTATTTATTCTAAGAAATACCAGTAAAAGATTATTAGATAGGCAGATTAGAAAGAATTAAGTGGGTATGGCCTGCTGACAGCTACATAGACTTATTCTGTTGACCATGTGTGGGTTTCTTTTTCCTCCATGTGTGGGTTTCTTTTTCCTCTGCTTTGTAGAAACATTCATTAATGTTTCTGCATTTTCTGTGTCTAAACGTTGTGGAGGAGATACGTGTGGGTTTCTAGCAGTAATAGTTTATACTCCTGAAAACATGCAATTCTAAGCCAGGAATGTTCCCATGTGAGGTAGGTGTTCAATTTTATGGATAAAGTATTGAAAGATGTTTGCAGAAAATCACTTGCAAGCAAATACATTGGCTGAAAATTGTTTTCACAGAACATTTATCAGACCATTTAAAAAGTGAAAATTTAGTGAAAAATCCCAAGCTGTTTGTAAATCATCTGCAAATCATCATTTGCAAACAGGAGTATAATGACTGTGTCAAATGAATTACTGAGTTTTTGCTCGCTGCTAGCCAGGTGTACAAGACTTACACAACAGATGTTTGAATTTCTCAAGCTGTGCAGAGGCTGTAAGAGTCAGGCAGTACCGGCCGTGGCAGGACTGCAAAGCATTTCAGTGGTGTTACACAGGGTGTTCATGATTTCAATGTATCACTACCCAAACCTGAAGGACTGCAGCTTCCCTGACACTCTCTTGTGTGATATTTATCAAAATTAGGGTTTGATCAATGAACAATAAATACTCAACATTTAGGACTTTTTAAATAAGCTTAACATTATTTTTGTATTGATTTAGCCAATGATTAGGAATTGATGAGACTGGTTTATAAAACCTCCTTTTGAATTTAGCATAGAATGGCATAGTGGTCAAGATGGAGATTCCTTAGACTATTCAAACATACCTGACACTGTTTTTCCTACTAAGATCTATAATAGTTCACTGTTACTGGGTCAATATTGCTCTAAAGAAGTTTGGGAATATATTGAAATATATGATTCTTTAAATAGATTATGCAAATAGGCATGTATGTTCAATAACTAGTCAATACAAAATCAGCATCTTCCACGGCAGATTTGCTGGGCTTTTTTTAAGTACTTTGCTTCAAAACCCCCATCTTAAACATGAAATCCAAAAAAGCAAATGGCATCCTGATGATGGATACAAATAAAAATCAAAAGCCAGCAATCAATTCTCAAAAGAATGTCCAAGGAGTCTACCTGGCACTTACATAGTAAATAAGATACTTTTTTCTTTCTGCTTTTTGGGTAATCTTGAGGTCCTCTCATTAACAGAAGCTCTTGCCATAAATTTAGAGGGTTTAGATTTTGGATACATGGTGTCTAGGATAGTAGGCAGGCATCACATGGTGCCTGAAGCCTTTTGGTGGTCCATGTCCAAGTGCTAGTTTGCATTATGACTTGAATATACACACACAATACATGAAAGGATGTCTGGTAGTGACTGAAAACACTTCAGTTCCCAGTTGTCCTTTGGGGGAGGTAATGAACCAATACCATAGAGGACTCTAAGCCCAGAGGAATACATGGAGCCTTTCTAGGAAACCACCTTCTTTTCATTCCTTTGGACTTGCAAGTCTTCACTCCTCTATACACAGGCAATGACACTTACCTCTTGTTTTTCCTTCCAGACAACAGCCTCAGATTCCAATCACCACGGGAACAGGAGTTGTCTACCCTGGTGCTATTACCATGGCCACCACCACGCCGTCCCCTCAGATGACATCAGATTGCTCCAGCACCTCTGCCAGCCCTGAGCCCAGCATCCCTGTCATCCAGAGCACTTATGGTATGAAGACGGACAGCGGAAGCCTTCCTGGGAACGAAATGATGAACGGAGAGGATGAAATAGAAATGTACGAGGACTATGAGGATGATCCCAAATCAGACTATAGTAGTGAAAATGAAGCCCATGAGGCAGTCAGTGCCAACTGAGGAGTGTTCACAGAATTAAAGTACTCAGACTCATTTGGGTTTTTTTGGGGTTTTTTTGAACAAAAGTTCTTAAAGAGCCTGCATGCATGTGTGGCTCCTACAGTTACATCAGCAGAATGGTCTTAAATGTTTCTTATCGTGTGAGACAGATTGTTTCCCTAATTTTTCATGAACTTGGTTTTTTTTTGTTTTTGTTTTGTTTTGTTTTGTTTTTAATTTAGATGAAGACATAAATATCAGACATCAGGACTTGAGAACTTATATGAATCAATAGCTGTCTTACAAGTCTTACCTTTGTCTTTTTCCGTTTGGATGCTGTTAAAGGTTTAAGTTACTGTTTAGATGGGGGTTATACATTCTCACTCAGGTATGCTGTGCCAGCCTACAGGTTGTGAATGTGTTTTTATTCTGGATTATTTTAGAAAACAAAATCTGCAGATTTCATATTGTGAAACAGAACAAGTCCGCAAGTGTGCACACCTGTGCATCATAGCTTGTCTTTCAAAAATAGTCTCGGAATTCCATTTTTTTTCCATATGTATAGCTGAATTTCTGATGTGCCAAACTTTTCATAACTTTTGAATCTTAGCATTTAAACAAAAAGTCTTAAAGGAGACACTGTAAAGTCTTAGACAATCCTTTGGCATCTTAAAAAAAATATATATAAAACGTAATTTTTTTCCAGAATATGGTAAAGTACTCAGGAATCTGGAGACAGGATATTCTTAATTAGTGAACATGGTTGCCATAGTGCATGTGCCCAATTGCTTTTGCCTCTTGATGTGCCATTAGTGTGAAATTTTAAGTAAGCACAAAAGAGCGATCACCAGCTATGGACAGGCCTGTCTTAGCAGTGTGAGGCCACCTCTGATTACATTCTCTACCCCTTTGCTTTTTAACCCTTGCATTCAGTCTTAACACATTTTCTCTTAAATAATTTATTCATTCCAGAATGTCAAGGGTCCAAATACTTAATATTTATTTTTAAAAGTACAGTTGGTGGCATTACACTTACAATTCCTTATTGATATTTTAAAGAGCCTCTTCTTTCCCCTTCCCTAAATCACACAGGTATATGAAAATAAAAGTGCACCTGCTACTAAAATGAACATGACCTTTATGAATGAGAAACTCACTTGTTCCTCTAACACTGTATGTTCAAGGAGCACTTGGAAACACTCTGCTATATGTATTGCAAAATAAAGTGAGTACTTTTATATGTACATAGAGTACAAATACCCCTAAAAATGTATTTATAGTTATAAACCTCTACACTTAGCAAGGGCAGTCGTAAAATCCGAACTGAATTTACAGTCCACCATGGTGAATTTTTAGGGCCTGACGAACCTGTGGCAAATCATGGCTATGTACAGAATGTTCCCATTGCCACCTGAAGGAACTGTGCTACCTTAAGTATTTATGCAGTGATTTATTTGTGAGACTCCAAGTGCGGGAGGGAGGGACACTAAAATATCTAATTGCAAAGGTGGGAAAATGGGCCATCAAAAATATTTATTGTATATTAGTCATGTGGGAATGTGACCTGTCACGCGCTTTGGGATCTTTGGATGTAAGGTGCTATAGAAATTAAAATTTCTGTTTGTATTGCTCCTAGAAGCCATGCAATTACTGGAGAAAATTCTGGGAAATACGCAAGACTCAATTCAAAGATTAGATTTGTTTGATTTCAAAGATGGAGGAGAAACTGCCTTTATTTTTTTCCCCTCATACTCCCCTCCTGTTCACAAATAGATCACTGTACATAAATACAGTTCCAATAGGCCTGATGATTAACTGTGCTGAAGCTCCTCAACTCCCTCAGCTTTTATTTGGAATTGGCCGTGCTCAGCACACTGGTGATAAGTTCAGGCTCGGGCTGAGAGGTACCAGGGGGTCTAGAGCAGCTCCTCTGAAAGTCTGGGAGCATCTTCTCACAGAGCTGCACAGGTTTGGCTTAGGAATTGGTGAGACTGGTTTATGAAACAAAAGGAGCCTGTGTTGGTCTGGCTGTCCTGGTGCATCCTGATCTGCAGACACCCCTGTGAGCTGCAATGGCAAGATGCTCTGTGGAGGAGCAGTCACCTTCCTGACAGCCCCACTGATCCCTGTCCTGCCAGGAACAGCCATTTTTGCCACTGTAGGAATCGCGTTTCTATGTGAAAGAACGAAACTCCCCAAGACAAAGAAGATTGTTCAATTTACAGGACAATTTATAAAGATAATGGCATAGAAACACAATGGTCAAATTTCTCTGACCATTTTGTAATTTGGAACAAAAAAAAAGCTATATTTTTAATATTTATTTAACTGTGTTCTGAGTCCATGTCTAATGAGCAATAAACTGGTCTAGCCAAGTCTTCAAAGGCATATGCTGTGTCATTAGCTGGTGAGCGTCCTCTTTAAGCTGGCTAAGGTACTGATAGAAAGTGGTTTTTTGTTCTTAAAATAGCTTGGGAATTTGAACTGGTTTTAATACATTCAGCTCAGATTGGGGGGAGGACATCATTATTTCCTAAAAAAAAAAAAAAAAAAAAAAAAGACTATTTATTAATGTCTTACATAATTCTCCAGTTAGAAGTATCTCTCCCTCCCCCCACGTCACTTTCTTTCTCTCTTGCTCTCTTTTTTTCCTGGTTTTGTTGCATAGGTAGAATGCTGTATTGCTAGCATTGTATTTTATGTAATTATTTCTTTGCACAAAGGCAAACATTTAGATTAGTTGGTTAATTTTTTTTTTTTTTTTAATTTTATGACCATGCCAAAATAATATTCTGCAGGCTTGTGGAGAACAAAGGACTGTTCTTTAGGACTGAAACTTGATTTTGCTTGTAGTACAAAAAAAACACACACTCACAGATGTTGTTTCGTAAGTGTTATAAGCACTGGATATAAATGGTATTTTTTATCACTTCTGACTAATGTGAAACTGTTGTACGAAAACTACATGAACAAAAGTCATCTGTTTCGACTCGTGTGGGCCTGCCTCACAGTTGCCGGATTTGAGTCATTTTTATGTCTTGTTATTTCATTTATTTATGCAAAATACATGTATGTATGAACACTTTGTTTTAGCTCCAGCCCTGCCTCAATGCTGATGCTCTGTACGTTAAAGCCACATTCTTGAAAATGACTGGCTGTTCAGGAATCACCAGCTGGTAAAAACTGCATTTACTAGCTGGGGGAGTGGGAGGAACATATTTGAATCTGAATTGTGCCTATGAGCATGTTATTCTATTTATTAGCCGACATTGGCTCTAAAATGTCAGTAGAAATCAAGGAAGGACAATCATAAGGATGAAACCCAACATTTTTTACTTTATTAATCGGAGCTCAAAACAAAGTTTTTTGATGAATTTGCCATCTCATTTTAGATTTTTTTTAAATTGTGTAAATATAACATAGGAAATAGAATTTTATTTTTTGTTCATGGATACTTAGTGAAGTATAAGTTATGTATTTACTTTTGTTCTATATCAGTGTATGTTGGTCCATATTAAATGCTGACAAGTCACTGTACCTCATGTAGATGCTGAATTTACACCCGCAGTGTGAGCGCAGTATTGTGGACCTGTAGCTGGGACAGCAAGATGCCTCACTTGTGCTCTTTCTGATTTTTAATAGCATATTCCACAAACAGGGAATACTTTCTTCTTTTTTAGAAAGTTGATACATGAAACATGCCAAATTTTGGCTACATTTAATGGGAAACACAGTCTTCTGAATCTGAGTAAAACCAATGAGATATTTTACTTACCAAGAATGGCATTTGGAAGTCAAAAGCATATCCCTGAAAGATTAAAATTACTGAAATGGCCCCTGCAACGCAGGCAAGACTTGGTGATATCAAACCTTCATGTTGTACATCCACTTAATCATGTTATTGTGACATTAGGCTATAATACCAGAGAAATTGTTCACACAATACACAAAGAGGATTCATGGAATTGCTTCTTAAGCTTTGTGTTTGAGGCCCCTTGGAAACTGACTGGAAAAATAACTCCATTCAGGAGCACTAATATAGTAATACTATTTTCTCTGTGAACAGTTTATTTAATTAACAGATAAAATATATTTTCTTTTGGAAAATTATTAAATACTTATATTCAAGAGAAGGAGACTCCCCAAACATTCTGGTACCAGCCAGAATAGTTCACTTCTAATTTTATAAAAATGGAAGATAAAGGTCCCAACGGAAACCATACTGCTTTCCAGGGTTTATGTGCAGAAACAGGTCTGGAGAACTGGCCAGATTCTGGTCTGCCTGTATATTTGGGTATCACCATTTAGCTTGTGAAACCACCTGCTGAGCATTCACAGGATCCCAACACAGTGCTCCTAAATCAGGATATTCAGGTGCAGTGTGAGGCAGGGGGAGGGAAAAGACAGAGGGATGGCTCTGGGATGGAAATGCAAACCCAAAAGCAGCATTAGTCCCAATAAATACACTGCCCTGGGCAAAGTGCACAGCAGCCAGCTGTGGGCAACCTCTGCTTTGGATAAACACAACACAACCACCTCCCAGTGCCATCTAATCTCTGGGCTGGCTTTCTGCATCTTGTTTTTCAGCCACATCAAAAGCATGACATTTCAAAATCATCTCCCAGCAAAACATTCTATGAATTTAGACCCCATCCTCTCCCAGAAAAACACCTACCTACCTGCCTAATATGAAGCATGTTAGTACTTCCACGGTGGTCAAGAGGACCAGTGCATTGCTGCTGTGGAGTGGGGTGAGCTTTGCTGAGCCAGAGCCACAGTAAGAACAACTGCACTGGAGATGCAGCCATCAGGATGTATGATAGAGTTCTTCATGTTTTTATGAGAAGCTAATGAATGGGCTTGGACCCCTTGGTGTTTTGCATGCTTTTTTAAGATTCAAGTTGGCACTTAAGCATGTTCTTTTAAAAGAATAATACTATATGAGTTCATTTGATCATTTACAGAACATCTTTTCCTTTAAAAGAAACTTCTTCTAAACTATTTTTTTTTTTGTACAGCCCATTAAAATCTGTGATTTATCTGAGGTCAAGTTACATTTTTGATAAGTAGCAATGCCCTGCTACAGAAGGAAAAAAATGTATGTGCAAAATCATTTCACTTTAATCCGACGCCCTTTCTCAACTACCAGAATTGTTGGAAATGGTGACAAAGAAGTCACCAATTCACATGAGATTTCACGTGCTGGGTAAAAAGGGGTAGGGTGGGGTGAACTGGGCTGAAGGAAAACTTATCAAATTGGTACTTATGGCAATATGAAAACTATAAAGCAACTTAGTGACATGGCTTGCTTTGTAATTTCCGCTTTCTAAAAACCACAAGTGAGGTCCTTGGTGCTCTTGGAGTATGGGGAATGTGCAAATATTTAACTGTTTGTATGCTGCACATTGCAGACCTGCTAGTGTGCATTCTCCGTTTGTCTTCCTTTGTCATTTGTGTTTTGCTTTCCAGAAAGCAATGTTGTTTTTTTTCTTGTACCTTTCTTCAGCTTGTAGCAAACTAGAATGCTTAGCATTTATGTTCATTCATTATTGTATTTCCCATGTAAAATTTTTTTTAGTACATTAAGACAAGCTTATAAGCTGTTACTACATAACTTATCTTACTGTAACTCTTATTTCCTGACATTGTAATTTGTTTGTGATGTATATTGTGAGATTGTACTCTATGTTAATTTAATCAGCACAATTCACTGACATGCTGGACTGACATGCTAGCTGCTGTTTCAAATTGTAAAGTTTGTTTAGAGCTGTTGGGACAACTGAGACTCTCTTGTCAAGGTACTATGCTTTGATTCCTATAGCAACACCATGGGTGCAGCTCTTACTGGCAAGGGCTGCTTGTTTAACAGCCACTGGCTACTTAATGGGCAGGTTTTCTTTGTAGAAATTCTACATACAGTGCAGGTACCTACCTGGGCCCATGGCCGGTAATTATTTGGGCGTTTAGAGGAAAAACTAGTGTCTATTGCTGCTTTGAATATGTTTTAAAGTCTGAAAATGTAAATAGTTTATCAAAAAAAAAAAAAAAATCTTGTACAGTCCAGTGTAAAGTTTTTAAATGAACTTAAAGGTTGCCATCACATCTCACACTCTCCTCTTGATACAGTAAAAAGAAAAAAAAGAAAGAAAAAACTTTGCTAAGGATATTGATTTAAGAAAAAAATCTGTTCTCAGATTAAAAAAGAGAATAGTTATTCTTAGCTCTGCTTCATTGCATAAACAGACTTCTTGGATTTTGTTGTGCAGTATTGACGTGAGGTAAATTAAATATTAAATAATCTTTCAGTGGTACTTTTAAGAGTCTTCTCCTCCTCTGCCTCAGTTATTGATGGAAAAGACAAAATTGAAAGACACTGTCCATATACAGTATGTTCTGGTGTATGTTGGCACCTTACCTACATGTTTCGGGTGGGAGGGATTTTTAAAATTTTTTTTCTTTTTTTTCCTTTTTTTTTTTTTTTTTCACAAGGTGCTTTCCTGATATGTTAAACATGTCATCCTTGGGTGATACAGTATATGCCATGATAGGGGTTTAGACCCCTCAGGGGAGTGTCTATAAGACTGCCTATTTATGCTCATTTACCTCAAGACTGTCCTCTCTACCCTTAATCTATTCACCATCACTCCATCTTTTGTACTGCTGTTGACACTTACAAATTAAAGATAAATTTTGTTTTATGAGATGTGTGTGTGATTTCCTCTATGCATCCCTTATTCCTTTAAGTTTAGTATTAAAGACTGACCATGATGAGTTGATGGGAAAATGCAACTAGGCCTGTTCAGCTGGTCTCCTGTAAATTTGGTGACTGAATTTTACAGCCTTATGTTTTGTCCATGCCCTTCTAGTCTATGAAGGCATTTTTCAGCCTCTGAAATCCATTAACACCATATGCTATAAACGACATGCATGACAACCAATTTGACAGTACACACTGAATACCGTCAATTTTGTGTGCAGGAAGTGCTGTTGGTAGCAACATAATCTCAGAAGGATTTTTAGTGAGTAGAAATGAGACAAAAGAGTTCTCATGTTTCTTCTTTCTTTGCCTTCCCCTTTTCCGCTGCATATAACTTTAAACAAACTAACCAAAGTTAAACAGCAAAAAGCCTATAGTTGCCATATTGCCATGTCTGTAAATTGCTGCCATTGGTGTGTTGTGATTGGTTTCTGACTTAGAAATTAGTCATGGTTCTCATAGGAAAATAATAAATTACATTGAAGCGTACTGTACTGAAACAGAAATGTAAGAGAATCTTTTGGCTGTACATTACATAAGAGTCTAGTCAAGTTTCAGCTGGTGCAAAAACCACCCTGAAACATCCAATTGGGACAGAATCCATTATTTTTTGGAGAGAGCATCATAAATGGACTTCCAAAAAATTACATTCTGCACTATGAATCTGTGTGGTGGAATACTTCAAAGTCAACAGTGGATGCTAATGAGGAGTCTGACCAACATGTTATAATGGATAAATACATAAATATTGATTGTGCAATTTAATCCAATTTATTTCCTCTGTTCCCCACACACCTGTCGCCATGTGATTTTTCTCCTTTTTCTGACCAGAATCTGCAGCTGTGAGTACTGATCAGTAATCTGGAACACACTGATGTTGTCAGCTGGGTTGTTACACAAGTACCAGGAAAGGCAAACCGAGCAATGGCTACAAAAGGTCGCTGCTGCCTGTAGCAGTAAGGCATAAACTGTTCATGTGACAGCTCTAGGTGTCAACCTAAAAAAATATGCACTAATTGCCACACAGGACAGGGGGCTGTCTCCACATGTACAGCAGTCTTCTGGACAAGGCTGTGTGTTGGGGGCTAACCCATATAGCAAGAGCAACTCATTGCTTTTTCCTGGTGCTGGGGAGAGCAGCACCTCTGACCAGCTTGCTGCAATAAATATAAGAAATAATCTCCTAAGTTGCCATGGTTATTCCAATCATCACAGGAGGGCCCTACTTCACTGGAAGCCCCAAACAAGTGACGGAGCACAACAAATGCAAGAACAGAGGTGCCCCTGCCGCTCTGGTCCTTTCTCCTGCTCTCAGATGTTTCTCCCTCTGGCTGAGCACAAACTCTGCTCACCAGGTTCCATTGGAGCCCTCAGGATGGCTGCAGTTTGGGGTTTTCAAGATTCCAAGGCAAGGCATGAGTATCTCCCCACTGGGATTTTCCCGTGGTGATTAACTGCTAGCATGGTAGCCCAACAGCAGCAGCTCGAACAGATTGGGAGGAGGAGGAAAAAGTAGTAGTTGATTTATATCTTTAATATATGGTTTATAATAGAAAATATGAGCTCCAGGTTGTGTCTCTGAACAGTTAATGACCAGCTGGGTTAAGGGCCTTCAAATACTGCCATCGGTCATTGGCTGCCAGGAGGTATCCTTCCTGTCATCTGCTGTTCCTTAATTGTATCAAGACCCACTGCAGCAGAGGACTGTTAAATCTGTGCATTAATTGGAATCTGACCCTCAGTAAGTTCTAATAATATCAAGGCTGTTGCAGGTTAGCACTGGGCTCCTTGACATGACAATCCATAGCAAACTTCTTCAGAGCTGTTCTGCTTTGTATTAATGCCTGCTGGATGACTGACACAGTTAAACCATAATTGCCCTGTAGGAATCACTGTGGTCAGTTGTATTAAGAACTACTTAGGAACAATTTAATTTACTTTGACACCACAAAGTTTAAAAGCTTCTCTACTTGTAATAAAACCTCTTCGACTTTTTGGTTCTGTATTTCATCAGCAAATGATCACTGGATAAGAAAAAAGGTTATTATTAGAGCTTTAAATAATGCTCCTCAAATAATCAAATTACAAAAGAAAAGCATATTGATTATTTGTGTCTTTTTTTTTTTTTTTCCACTCTTCTGACTATCAAGATGTTTGAAGAAACCAGGCAGGCATTTTAATTTAAGCTTCAAAAATGGGATGTGAGCTCAAAACTTACAAACATTAAGCATAAAACCCCGACTCTTGCATTGCTTCTACAACTTTCAGCTTTAATTTTATAAATAAGTTACCTCACACTACAGACATATGACCAAGCTTTCTTTTAAGTCAGGCCACAGGGATTGTATTTCAAAATCAGAAAATAGAACTATTCTGCTATGATTCAGAGCTGTGCAGCCTGCAAGACACTGCAATCACCAAGTGGAAAGGTATTTCTGTCACTAAGCCCCTGTAATGGCTAATAATTTCTTTCTAGCTACTGTATGTTCACAACTAATTAATCACAAATAGTTTACAAAATTGAAAACACAGTAACTGTCTTACTGGATTAGACTCCTAGTCCTCCTGCCCCAGTAGGTTCATGTTCCACAGTTGCAACAGGAGATAACAGCTAATGAGAGCATCTGAGCCTGGCCAACATCTGCATCTCATTCTCGTGTTCCCCAGCACTTACAGTAATTGTGTTGGGCTATTAATGTGTGCGACCCTTTCTTAGTCAGGAACACTGCCTGGTATTTTGGTGGATGAAATGACTGAGGGCAAATTAACAGTTAAGTTTGCATCCCTTGATAAGGAGTTTTGGAACAGCCCTATTTATTCTTTTTAATGGAATAAAATCAGGGAAAACAGTCAGTTTATGTTCAACTGAATTGCAAAGTCCCTCGTCTGATCCAAAATACTTAGGATGATAAGCTTCTCTCAATTTTTGCAGGATCTGGTTAAAACTTAACAGACTTAATTCAGAAAATCTGGAGATCATAGATTTTAATGATCAAATTACTCAATCACAATGAAATATCTTTTATTCAAACATCAGGAAATCCACACTTGATTGCAGACTTAGTTAATTCCACTAGAATAGCTGCAGCTGCTGGAAAACCAAAGGCTAAGTGCTGGAGAGGGAAAAAGAAATCCCCCAAAATCTACCCACCCACCCAAAAAGAAATGCAAGCCTTTTGCCATGTGTTGAGAGATCATGCAGGGAAAAGGGCTTTTGGAAAAACCTTTAGGTACAAGATACCTCTTTTGTGGAGTCTTACTATAGAAACTAGAGAGTTCTTCTGGTTTTGACAACTACAATATGGGTTGAAAGGAAAAAGTGATAGAAAGTTAGTTTACATGATATTGTTTGAATCAACTTTTCCAGTGAGCAGAACCTGCAGAGCCCCCCTAACACTGCTCTGACTTTATATAACACCAGCTACAGGAGGGAAGCACTAGATATCCTAGCAGCTTTAGATTATTTTAAGGAAAAAAAGGTCTTATTTCAAGGAAAAGAATAAAAGGTCTTATTTCAAGGAAAATGAATAATTTTGAATATTCACATAATGTTATTGTGCTGAGCTGCAATAATTTGTGCTAAGAATGGCACCACTTCCCTTCTTCTGTGTATATGAGTGTGAATGTATAATAGTTCCTAAAAGATTAATGGCTCTTTTATTCTATGATAGATGGTTTAATGTTCATTTGCTGTACTTGCAATTCATCAGATATTTAAGGTGGCCCTCTAAAATTACAAAATTATGGGAAAATTAATATAACTCTTAGAAATCACCAGCTGCTCCCACCCCTCCGTTGGGAAGACTGCTAAGTTGGTCATTATGTCGTTCTTATGTTATTATGCTGCCATCCCTCACATGCTGGGACAGGACTGCCACCCCTCCAGACCCTCAGCTGCCCTGTGGGCTCCCTGCCCACCACCTCTCCTTCTGCCCTCCTCACCCTGCCCTCCCACAGGGCAGCCACAGCAGGGGAATGAAGGGCAAACACAGCATTCCCCTCACACGGCCTCCAGTCCCTCTCAAAGAGATTATTTTGGGTTTATTGTGACCTGAGGGGAAGCTGGGAGTGTTTACAGCATTTACTGCATCCCATCTGCTGAGGGTGTTGGCGCTGGGTGGCCGGAGCTCTGGGCAGCCCCCTGGGAGAGGCTGCAGAGGGATTGTATCCCTGGGAAGGGATGTGAGGAGCACAGAACAAACAATGTGACTCCCAGGGTGATGCTGGAAGCAAACGTGCCTTCAGAAAGACCTCAGGATGGTGACAGGGAAACAGTTTTTCTTCCTTCTGTAATTCGGTAGTCAAAAGATATGAAGAGACAGAAAAATTTTCTCAGCAGAGAAAATTCAATGATTCAACTTACAACTTTAAATTTTGACCCAGTCTACATTTTTTTCTACTTCAGCCTTTGCTGCTGAGGAATTTGTTCTGAATGTACCTGTGCACCGTCAGTAAGACTCCCATGCTGAACAGAATAGCTGGGGGTTCTGTCCTTTAGGCTCTACACACAACGGGTTCTTGTTGGGCTCTGAGCTGATGCCAAGGACCTGATTCGCTAAGTGCCCCCAGCTTAGAGTAGTGTACTAGTCTGTTCTGTCTTTCTTGCAGTAGAAACAAAAAACATAGGTTTTGAGCATATTATATTTTCCTCACAGTGTGCTCTAGTGTTTAATGGAGAAAAAAAGCAAATAAAAGATCTCCAGTGTAACTGAGCAACCTGAGTAGGCACACGGTGTTTGGAAAGTGCTGTGATGAAGAATGTGAAAGAGCTCTCTAGCAATGCCTTTTGATAGTTTGGATGAGTGGAGTTTAAAAAAATATATTGTTTGGTCAACTTCATGGTATAAAGGATAGTGAATGATTTTAAATTACCTGGTAAATTTTTTTTTTGAGTTACCAGGTTGTTTCTCTGAAGTTCTGAGTATATCCTGCTCCCACTGG